CACGTTCATACTACACTCCACATTTAGTAGATCATTCTTTGACCATGTGACTGTTTAAAAATCGATACATAACTTCTGGAAACCCTATATTTCTGTTGTATGATTATATGTTTCCAGGATGTAATGAATAAGGCGGAAGTATTTTAGATATATTAAGGATTATTAAGTTGGTATTTATTCTTGTTCGTTCTCAGATAACATCTCTTTCGGTAATGAATTTTTCTCAAACATAAGAATTGTATTTTGATTACTGAAGTTAAAAAAAAAAGATAATCTTTTTGGATTCCTATGTTAATATTTAGGGTGTATTCCATTGCATAACACAGTGATTATAGCTATAAAATCAAGGGTAACTTGAGGGCAGAACTTACTTGTTTGATTTCTGGCTTCAGTTTATGCGATTATGTATTATCAAGCTATCGTTTATACGGAAGCTGTGTTCTTATGTTAAGATCGTAAAGCACTTTGAATGGACGATTACGTCACACTCATGTAGGGCATGTTCCACTACACTTGATTTGTTCAAATACCTCAAATTTACATGTTCTTTCACAAAGTTAACATTTCTCTTGAAGTAGAACGAACATAATCATGCTGATAGCGAGGAAAGATACATTTGTAAATAACACTTGACGATTTAAAGAAGCCAGAGATTAATCAAGTAAGTTCTGCCTTTTAAGTTACTCATGCTTGTATAATCACGATAACTGCGTCATGCAGCTGACTATGGTTTAAGGACATAATTACGTCGCCTCACCTTACGAAGAACTCAGATAATTTAGGTTAGTGGAATAGATCCAACATCTGATGGGGAATTAAAAAGTAACTGGTAACGTCAGCAATGGAACTCTTATCTACTTTCTGTGTAGTAACAACTAGCCTGGATTAAGGGTCAGTGCCTATCAGTGCAACCCCTGGGATTGTCAACTAAAACTCAACTTAAATATGACATTAATCGATATTTACGTTTGTTAACGTAGTTTGGCGCTGCTGCAGTAACATATTATATTTTTTCCTTTCAGTGATGTGTATACATATATATATTACAGAAGTTTTTATTATATATATATATATATATTCCCTTCTTTACAGAAACCCTAAAACATTCTAATGATTTCTATTTTATCAGTGGAAGTGGCTTTCTTTGCTGTACATTCTGTGCTTTAGAATATATCAGGCTTTTCCTTTGATGTTGTTAAATAGTTACCACTTGTAATTTGTCTCAGAGAAGGTAATTATAAATGATAACTTGTGAGTAGGTTCTACAATAAAAACCATAACCTATGCAACTTGTGTTTGCTTGAAATTAAAGTATGAAAGCTACATGCCTATTTTCAGTAATTTATCCAAACAAGTTTTTTATCTGATTGATAACACGCAGTAATATTGTTTGTAGATAACGCAGGCCGATAATATTTTTGTAACCATTAATACATATAGCAAATGAACGATTTTATAGATATTAAGCTCAACAGAGAGCGAACGTCATATTCAGCCACTTGATGATTTTGACTCTGGAATACAAACGATACCAAAATGTCTGCACGTCAGAGTTGAAGGCTAACGGAATCAAACATGATGGGTTATTGACCAGTTTTCTTTGAAAGTCTATGTTTAGAGCCAAGTCCATTATTGAATGTTCGATTGTGTGTAATGCATGTAGGTTATAAATCGATTTTACAGTCTCTCCAGCATACAACAATATATAGAGAAATTTTTATAGTGAACACTCATAAAATTAGTACTAAGCCTTATTACCTTTTTCATTTGGAAACTATTTCAGATTAACTACGATCTTATTAACAGATTTTCTCAAAGTCACTTAATTTTCTTAAAATTTCAAACGGAAACCGCGTTTTATAGACTTTTTATCATCAGTAACTGTAGGAGAAACGGATGCAAACATTGTTCTGAGCTCAAATTTTAGTTATTTAATCAATCTCGATTTCATTATAATAAACGTTACAGGAAAAATGCAAAGACGTAATTATATACGAAATATAAACAAAATATTAATATTTTCACAACTGCTATTATTAAAACGTTTGCATGTTCAAAATAAAACATCGTTAGAAGTATGGATAATATGGTTCATAATATAATTTACCATTTATTTGGTTAGATTTTAAACGAAACAGAATGATTAATGGAGGACTATTTCCGCTTTCTTCAGCTTGGAATCATTTACATAGTTTGTTAAATTACATACCACGTTGTTGACATTAGGCTGAGTTTGCGTTTATTTTCTCCGTTGCTGTAGTGTCCAGGAGCGATTAGCAGTCTTAATCTCTAGTTCCTTATATTAAAAGTATAATCCTTTTTTATTTACATTGGGAGCTTGATATAAAAAGGATGCATTATAATATTAATAAATAATTAAATAAGTACAAGAAAGTTAATTGATAAATAACTAAATAAAACATGCAAAAGAATTTTAGGTTTCTGTCAGCCGGCTGCTACCCTGTGGTCAGTGGTTTAAATTAAGTACAGCACCACGTTACGGACATATGTATGGCGACAGAACTCCATAATTGAAGAGAAATGCCTGGGGTATGGCTGGTGCTAAAAACTTATCTAGTGTGTAACTACAAGTATAATGGCAATATAAAAAAAAATGCATTACTGTGTATTTCCTTAAATGTTTCCCCGTTGGACTCTCTTCCTAGTTACCGTGAACTTAGTTAGAACATGGGTGTATATTTGAATGTACTTATGTTCTACATTTACAACTTCACTAGAAACAAAATATGATCTTATAGTCTTCTAAGTGATCCTGAAAGAAATAACGGCATATATTCTAAACAACCCGTACAAAATGTCTCTACCAATCAATTGCCTTAGCCCAACATTCTCCAGCAGCAGTTTGATGAAGAATGACATCAAAATTCCCTAAAATGCGTGTTCCACCTGTTTTTCGCAACAATTTCTTCCTGAATATTTTCCATATTATTATATTTTATTCTTTCTTCAGTATAAGATTAGCTTGAAGGGAACCTCCGATGAAGCAAGCCATTTGAATCAGTGAGTACAATAACGGTCATGTTATAAAGCATATTGAAGCAAAACTTGAAAGTCCAAGACAAACTATTCTTCTGTTTTTCACATCTTAAACATACTTTGTCACATATAGACACATAAGTAAAAATAATATAGTAATTATATATTCTTTAAGTCTAATGGGCTTGAAGTAAAAGTTCGGTAACATTCATAAAACTTACTTATTTTATTTGAACAAGTGTACTAATAGGCCGTTGTAAAAGGTTTAGCAAACTGCACCGAGTTCATCTTTCAGTATCCTTATAGCTATAGAATGTTTTAACGACATACCTTATTAGAGTGACGTTAGAGCAACAAGCATTTCCCTTAATGAGGTTACGGTTTAGTTGCTATTTGTAAATCTCAGTTGAAAACAGCAAAATTATTTTATATCTTCGGCTTGACGGAGCCATTAAAACCTGCTTCACAGTATAGAAATATATGTAATTAAATACGTTACTGTATAGAAATAAAATTTGTTTAGCAGAAGGATATATTTATGTTAGCGTGTCTTATACTACTGCATGTTTAAAATACATTCCACTTCAATATCCTATACAAAAATCATAACATTTCCAGAGACTTAAAGTATGTATAAATATCAAAAACTCTCTTTAATTAAGTTAAGGTGATATGTAAAATAGTAATGACGTGAAGATATAGTTCTGGGATCAGATATATAGGTAGGGAATTAGCTTGGATTCAATAGTTCGGAATAGGAATGAAATGTTGATAACCGTTATTTATATCACGATGATAAGCAGCCAAAATCACAGGCTACCAAAAGTAAATTCTATATGTAATTAAAATAGTTGCCAGGATCATTCGCCATCTAGATTCTATTATATAACAATATTGGATCAACATAAAGCAGATCATATTCGGTTTTATATACGCATGTAATTACTAAATGTTTTATTTCATTATTGTTAAAAATACCGAAACTTAAAAAATTAATTTTACCATAGCATCTAATGGTGAATGATTTTTTTTTTAATTTCGCGATTAGCTACTTAAGGCTATCTGAGCTAACCGTCCATAACTTTGTAGTGATAGGATAGAGTGAGGCATTTAGTAAACACCACACGCTTCCACCTCTTACGCTACTCTTTACCAATGAAACGTGGGATTATTGTAACGCCCCCCACAGTTTAAAGGGTAAAAATGTACTGTTTACAATCAGTTGCATTATGCAGATTAATATTTTCGCATCTGTTTTGTTAGTAATTTACATGTTTTTTGAAATATAAAAATCTTAATACAAGAACCACTTGGATGAATATTTCGATCTTTTATATTATTGTAATATGATTTACACCATTGTAATATAATAAAATAAGTTACACCATTGTAAGATAGTAAAATGATTCACAAAATGGTAATATTGTGAAATGACTTACACCACTGTAATATAGTAAAATGAATTACACCATTGTAATGCAGTAAAATGATTTACACTATTGAAATACAGTAAAATGATTTAATTATAATTATTAATATAAATATCAATATATTCAATATTTAGGAACATTAAATCGGTGATCTTGAAATTAAGATAGTGCATCTCTCATACAAACTTTCTAATTTATCTACAACGAAGTGGATAATATATGTAAAGACCTTTACTTTCGTAGAAATAAATAAATAGATGCTTTCCATAAAATGAAATGTATAATTTTATGTGTTTATAACATACTGGAAAATAAATGTAAATAGGAATGAATCCCCTTTTTACTCATTACTTCAGCCATTTATATATATATATAGTTTTTAAAAGTTTTAGGACATTACTGATAGCCGTATTTTTTTCGCTAAATAGTACTTGATAAAATGAAATCATACAATTATAGGCTTTAAAAAATTTACTTTTAAACGGTTTTATGAATTTAGAAACTTTAGTGGGAAATGTATATTTAAACTGCTAACTTTAATCTTCTGGTGTATTCAACAGGTTTTGAACTCACCAAGAATCACGTTTTTCTACGGGGCTCAGATAATGCTATACTTCCTTTCAGAACTATTGTTAGACTTGAAAATGTTTCACCTGCACAGATGAAGCGTTGAAAGAATCTACAGGTACTATCTTCTTGTTCTGCAGGACGGCAGTCTTCTCACGAACTGCCTTATGTCGCTATTACTTTCGTTAATAAATGCGCCATCAGGTGGAGATAAGAAGAAACACAAATATCGACTACAGGTTGCAGCCAGTCATATACTCAATTCATTTACCAGTTGCTGCAGGGTCTTCTTCAACACGAGTAACGGAAGCAAATTGTTCGGAAAACATATATATTTATAATTTAGTTGTGTAATCTAAAAATGTAGTGCTTTGTAATTATGCATTTGTATCGTACATTGACGAAAAAAACACAACAATTTAATTAAAACGACTGTTCTTGTCTGTTTCCTCCAAAGCAGTCTGCACCAGCCGTCCCTAACTTAGAAGTGATTGACTAGATAGAAAGTAGCTAGTCAACAACATCCACCGTCAACTTTTGGGCTACTCTTTTACCAACGAAAAATGGGATTGACCGTCACATTATACAACCTCGACGGGTGAAAGGGCGAGCATGCTCTCAGATTGCGAATCGAGCACCAAACACTAGGAGAAATCAAACGAGTGTTTTAACGGAAAATAAAGTATTCACAAGGAAAAAAATCAAATACCAGTGTCCATTCCGTAGAAAAATAACAAAAATTAGATTTGTATTTATTAGTGATAGAAGTTGAATCACTCAAGCAAGTTATAATTGTACAGAAGGAAATATTAAATAACAGGTTCTTCTGAAACTACAAGTGGTATATTTTAGCTGAAAGCTATAAAGGACAAAAACATGACTAAAAGCAAGGAACATTTCATATTAATTAGATATTACTGTGTATGTGTTAAACTGGAGATGCATAACAACCATCATCTAGCTATTTCAATAAAAAAACGTCGCAAGTAGCACGTGAAATATCACTAAATGAAATCACTGCTAGCGTATCTTTATCGAAATTGGAAGAAATTCTTCTTACAAGAGTTAAAAGAAAAAAATGTTTTTGTGTAACATCACTTATGATCAAACGTAACTTAGCTAAACAGACCACAACTAACTGTTAATATATAAATTACCGAAGTCTACTCTTATAACCAACTGACTAGAATACATAACTTCATAAATCAAAATGAAATATAACACATTAATTGAAAAAGCTATACGAAGGGGTAAAAATGTAGTTTTAAACTTTTTAGTATTGTAGATACTATAAGAAAACACTAACAAACACATATTATTTGTAGATACTATATGAAAACTTTAATACATCTTGTTTATAGACACTATAAGAGAATTTTAACACATCTTGTTTATAGATAATATACGAAAACTTTAACACATCTTGTTTGTAGACACTATAAGAAAACTTTAACACATCTTGTTTGTAGACACTATAAGAAAACATTAACACATCTTGTTTGTGGACACTATAAGAAAATTGTAACACATCTTGTTTGTAGATATTATAAGAAAACTTTAACACATCTTGTTTGTAGACACTATAAGAAAACATTAACACATCTTATTTGTAGACACTATAAGAAAATTGTAACACATCTTGTTTGTAGACATTATAAGAAAACTTTAACACATCTTGTTTATAGACACTATAAGAAAACTTTAACACATCTTGTTTGTAGACACTATAAGAAAACTTTAACACATCTTATTTGTAGATACTATACGAAAGCTTTAACACATCTTGTTTGTAGATATTATAAGAAAACATTAACACATCTTGTTTGTAGACACTATAAGAAAACTTTAACACATCTTGTTTGTAGACACTATAAGAAAACTTTAACACTTCTTATTTGTAGATACTATACGAAAGCTTTAACACATCTTGTTTGTAGACCACTATACGAAAGCTTTAACACATCTTGTTTGTAGACACTATAAGAAAACATTAACACATCTTGTTTGTAGATATTATAAGAAAACATTAACACATCTTGTTTGTAGACACTATAAGAAAACTTTAACACATCTTATTTGTAGATACTATACGAAAGCTTTAACACATCTTGTTTATAGACACTATAAGAAAACATTAACACATCTTGTTTGTAGATATTATAAGAAAACATTAACACATCTTGTTTGTAGACACTATAAGAAAACTTTAACACATCTTATTTGTAGACACTATAAGAAAACGCGAACACATCTAGTTTGTAGATATTATAAGAAAACGCGAACACATCTTGTTTATAGACACTATAAGAAAATTGTAACACATCTTGTTTA